CGTTTCGATTGCCAAGAAATTCTCAAGAAAAATATAGCAGCTCCTGTAAGTTTTTATTTTGAACAAATATTAACGATTTAAGTTAAGGTGTTAACTTCCTCTACCTCTCAGTAAATCAGGCTAAAATACCGAACGAAGACGCCGATCTTCTTACAAATGGAAAATTTTGACGAAAGAAATATTATTTCTTGTTCGTGTACGCAATTCGGCTACTCAGTCCAAAAGGCCGCAAATAACACTTTCGAGTACGATACTTCTTGCTTATCCCTGAGCCAAAATCTACTTGGGACCTTTCTGACTCAGGACCGAAGTTTTTCTTTCCCTTTAGTTTCTTTATCGAATGAAATTCGCATCAATTGCTGTGGACGGAAAAGGAACGATCCTTCTTTCTGACAAATTTTTATTGAACGTGAACGAGAAAAAGAAATCTTTCTAAAGAAGAACAGCGTCTCATACATCGCAAAAATTGCCAGTGCAAATTTACTTATTAAAAATTCAAACGTAAACGAGGGATATAGGAACTCTCGAGAATTAAAGGAAAGATTAAAAGTGGCCACATGCAACTTTTCTCGATAGAAAGAGAGAGAGATCGATTGTCATCGAGAAATCAACGAGGAGCACAGATTCTACGAGCCACTTTCTACTTGTACGATCGATACTTTCACAGAGAGACGTTGTCACGAAATTTTAAAAACTAATTTGTATGATTTTTCCCCACCGACCGAATAAAAATGGCCACGTGGCGAGGCTCATTCGTTTTATCGTTGCCTTTGGAAAAAAAATATTACGTCCAAAATAGCTGTGCTCGGCCCCATCAAATAAAATTTTATTTTAGACCTCTTATTTCTGAATACACCTCGAATTGCGTAGTTTGAAATAATTAATATAGTTTGGAATGAGTCGCTCGTAAATGGGTAATTAGATCAATTAAATAATCGTAGAAATTCATCACCCAAGCACGAGCGATAAACTGTTAAAATGCAAACATCTTTTGACCCTCGTCACAATTTGGCTGCTTTGATTAAAACGCATCGTCAAGATTCGAGAAGGACCAATTGCTTAAGCGCTGAGACTACTTAAATCGGTTTAAAAACGTGTTCGAGAATATATTTCTAAGTAACAAAAACACCTTTTGCGATCGGAATTTTTCAATAATACAGAGGCGTCACTTTTCGTCGCTTAGAAATACATCCCCAAGTTTGTGGTACTTTTTGAACCGATCAAGGTGATCTAAACGATTAAATTTCGAGTAAGTTTGAAAGTCTTAAAACACCCTGTACATGTCACTGGCTAAGAACGGAAAGAAATTTGGAGAAGCTCGATCGATGCATTTTCTTCGGTTAATTTTGAGAAATTTGCGTCACGAGGCTGATCCGTTTGTTAAAATCCGGCTCCGTGTTGCGTGCGTTTCGTTAACAATTAAAAATTCATTATTTATCATTTTCTTCCTATTTTTTGCTTATCGTCCCCCGTTGCATCACCTTTCCCACCCTTTCGTTCCTTCTTCTGTCGTTTAAATTCAATTCGCATTATTAGGGTATAATAATTAATTAATTGATGAATTAATTAATTATAATAGTGTCATTATAATTCGTAATAATATACAACATTTGTCAATAGATCATTTATCCTAAAACCCACCGCATGCTCGTGTCGAAATAATCGTTTGCATCTATTCTCCTTCTCTCTCATACATACCACACGCGCGTACATACATTTTATCATAACACTCTTTCGCCGAGACACGCAGAGACATACTTTCTTCGATTCTTCTTCTTCCTCTTTTCTTTTACGAAACACCCTTTTCTCGTTTTCTTCGCACACTCTCACACGCCGTGGGACTGTACTGGCTTCACGCGTATCTTACCTATCTAATTCAATGATTTGTATTCGTAAGTGTTCGTGTATGTGTGTGTACAGATGCGTGGTATGCGCGTGCCTAGCTTTTCTCGCCTTTCCTCGGCCACGCTCTACCCCGTTTTCTTCGACGAGCTTCGAATTTCGTGTTTCTAGCGATCATTTCGTCTAAAATCGAGTACTAATCGAATCACAGCAACGGAAGAAAGCGGGACAGAGAGCGGCGAGTAGTCGAGGGTGAAAATTTCGGCGAGAAACGAGCGACTACGACCTCCTGCTCCTCGTCCTGGCTCACCATATTTTCCCGTGGAAACAGAAAGAAACAAAAAGAGAGAGAACAGCCCCTCCTAGCACTCGTTCTCCATTTTGATACTCGGATGCGTGTATGTTTGTGTATGACGAGTGTGTACGATGAACTTTTGTACATATTTTTTTTATTTATCCTTCGCCCGGACGAACGATGCCTGTGGTCGATGAAGAAAAAGACGGCCGTGTGAAGTGGAAGCAACCCCCCTTGGAAAGCGCAGAGTTTATGGACGTGATGAAACGCCGACGTTCGTGCCCTCTTCCCCCACGTCGCAACTGTCAATTAATTAATAAAATGGGTTTCCTCGTAGAGCGTTTCTATTCGCGTCTCGACGTATCGTTAATCGATTAAAAGAAGAGCGAATGGTCCGTGGTATCGTTAACCGTAGTCGGCGCATTAAAAGGTAGCGTTTCTGATTCTTCTAACGTCGTGCCTACGCGGTGACACCAGTCGGGAGAGAAAAAGCCTAATAAATACGCGTGTGATGTGATCTTACCAGTCGCGAATACAACTAAAAACATATTCCTCTCTTAAGTGTTCCTAATCTAACCGTGTTGCGTGAACAGGACGATCACGACGGATCTGTACATTGCGATTTTACGCGACGGAGAACAAGGCGAACAACAGAAGAGCTTGGACTTTGTTAGGTTCAAAGATAGCGTCAACGACGACGACGATTTCGTGATTGATCTAAAAACGTCGCTATTTTTTCGATCGTATCGTCGGTATATAATGCCCCGTTATGCTCGTGCACGAAAGCTTAAAACAGCGAAGGAAGAGAACACAACGAATCACGAAGATTAATACAAAAAAATAGGAACAAACAGTGTAAGCATACAGTGTGAGGAACATATATATCGTGTACAAACGTAACGCGCAAGGAACTTTATGCTAGAATGATTCACATTATGTCGTACGCAATCCTGCCGTATTTCATCTTACTTTCTTTTCTGGTTCTCGATACGCGTGCCGTGTTACGAACGAAGGTAGATGGTCGCGGGGTATTAAGTAACGATTGTCTCGCTGAACATTCGAAGCAAACGCGTCATCCACACCGATGAACATGCTATTTTCGACGGCGTATCCTCCTGAAGGATCGCGCAAACGATTGGACACGGTTACCGCGGCCGAAACGACGAAAATTACGAGGCTAAGAAAAAAGACGACGAAGCTGACTGCCTCGGACGACCAACGCGTCCAACGTCGATCCGAACGTTGGCTACTCGAACGGCGACGCATGAAATACTTTTAATCGCCTATTCTGTTTTCCACCTGTTGACGCGCGCGTAACGACGATAAAAGAAAGGACAAAACGTTCCGACGAGATTAAGATACACGGGGCAATCAGGGCCTGTGCGTTGGCGTTCGATCGGGCTCCGCGCTTGTTAGAATCTTTGAGCCTAACGGATGATCCGGTCTTCCTCTTACACACCCACATCCTCTCTCATCCTCCCGCTACACTCGACGTCATATCCTCGCACCACACTCTCCTATCTCGCATACGCTTGCACAATACGTACTTACGATATACCTCTTACAATATTTTTTTTTATATTCATTTATTCTATTAATTATATCAATACTGTTGACGGATAGAGATTCATTCACAGCTCGCACCAGAGCGAATGATCGTCTCTGCCGTGCGCGGCGTACCGTTTCATTTTTTCCAATTAACATTTACTTCCGTTTTATCTTGCTTCTCTTCTCTTCCTCTTCTCCTTCTTTTCCTTCTTCTTCTCCTTCTTCTTCTTCTTCTTCTGTGTCCCCTATCCCCCCTCCCCCCGAGAAAGCGTTTCACCGATACTTAATCTTCATGCTACGTTTTCTTTATATATCTTGTTTCTTTCGACGAAACGTCTTATCACACGCTAAACGCTTCGGCCCCTCGAGGCCGTCACGGTTGTCGTCACGGTGCGTCGTATTCGTCGATTCACCGCGAAGCGTACCGGCTCACCGTACAGCCTTCTCCGTCGCTTCCGGTATCTTGGTTCATCCTCCGAACTCGACGAACTCGAAAACACCGTGCACGCCTCCCCATATCGGTCCGCTCGAGAGGATATTCGCCCGTATCGGGATACGCCTCGAACGGACACGCGCGCGTCCCTCTTCGGCCTCGAACAGACCGGTCACAGCACGAAAAGGATCGTCGATGCAACAGCGTCTCGTTCCGCGACGCGAACGACGAGAAGCTAGAAACCGAAACGCGCACTTCTCTCTTTTGTACCGAGTCTTTCGCGTGTACCGCGCGCGTTCGCCGTCGATCCCGCGAAACGAAGACTCTCAGAAGACGCATCGTTCAGTGTCCGCTAGGAGGTGGTTCACTTGTGGCCACGCTGCGCGAGAAAGTATTCGATCTGCTGCAAACAGATCAGCTGCTGCATCAGGCTCTGCAACGGATCCTGGCCCTGGGACTGAGCTTGCTGCGCTTGCTGCAGCGGTTGCGGCAATGTTCCAACGGCGGGTTGAGCAACCGGCGGCAGCATCGCTCCAGGAGCCGATTGTTGCTCGGCCAACAATTGTCGCTGAAGCTGTTGAGCCTGGTAGTGAGCGACCGCGACCAACTCCGAGGATTCCATCCCCATGGAGGCTGCAGCGGCGGCCGCAGCCGCGGCGTGACCCAATTGCACGTGCTGTTCCGAACGATGATGGCTGGTTAGAGCGGCCGGATGACAGGCTGTCAACGGGTGTACGCCCGCGTGCGACAGTCTGCTGGCCGAACAACCGGACGAGGCCAGGTACGCGCCAGGGAGGTTAGGGTTCTCGCCCCGCTAGGGAGCCATGTTCTTGGGCCTGCGCCCCCGTCGCCCCCTGGTGGGG